CTTTCGCATGCTTAATTAATGCCTTTACCTAATTTGCATATTACTGACATATGCAAATTAGGCAAATGCATTAATTAAGCATGCAAATAGCTGATTTTTCGGGAAAATTGTAACTTTGCGTGAATAGTTAAGGGGCTTAAACTAAACCAAATTGTCTGAAATTTTGTACAGTAATTAAAATCTCGACAAATTTTCCATCTGTTAACTCAAAATATGATTGCAGCTTTTAAATTTTGTGCGCGAGCCATTTTTAGTTTGTTGGAAAAGACACACCCCCCTGGTTCACAAAATTTGAGTTCGAGAAATTTTTCTCATTATTCTACATTATAAGTACCCAAAGAGGCCATATATATAAAAATCCGGATACAAATAGCTGTTTTGCGAAATTGAGAGCAATTTCAAATCTGTTCAGTTTTTTTTTATACACCCTGTATATACGCCGCAAACTGAACAGTGTCTATTTAGTTATACTATATACTGCTTTTTTATCCAGTGATGCCGTTCAATATCATATAATATTCAAAATCGGCAAAAATGTCCATCCCGATCTGGTGGGACAAGGTGGGAAAAGACTGAGATCCCCACCTAGTGCAAGGTGAGATCTCACCTAGCCTGGTGCCATCGTTCCTCATGTGAATACAAATTGAATCAAGTTCTACATGCGTTAGCAAAGAGCATGCATGCATGCATATCTCACTCAGGTGAGTTTCCGGGTTGGCTGGCGGGCTCATGTGAACATTCTCTTAAAGCAGCATCAAAACAGTTACCAAATTAATAACCAGGCAAATAGACTATATGTAGCAAAAGATAAGGGATAAATATTATAATTCCAGCAAAAGTGCCTCTATTAGCATTTTAAGTAATACCAAAATCATTCCTGGACTGCCATGCATATAACGATACCACTCTCTGGGATTTCAAAAGATTTCTCATACTTGTCAACAACATGAAATTAAATGTATCAAAGACCAAAGAATTACGTGTCGAACCTGACCCCATCTTATGCTCCCTGACTACTATCCATGCAGGTCAAGATTTCGACATAGTTTCTGAAGAAAAATCGGGGCGTTGTGATTTCAGATGAAATCCACCACATTGATTACATTTGTAAGAAATTTCAGCTTTACCAACTGACGTCTTGATCTCAGTTTGCTGTACGCATATCTGATCTATTGTTGAATATACTTGTCAGGTGTGGTATTTCAGTCTTCCCCAGTACTGTACCTCAACGATCAGGTGAAGAAAATCCAAAGTCTCAAACTTCGTCCCTGCGGCTGCTCGCGTGTTTATAATAATAATTAAACTCAGCTTTGTTATAGCACTTTTTATCTTATTAAAGAATATTTTTACTTGTAAATATGGAGTAGCCTATATACTTTATAACAAACATACTTGCAGGGAGGTGAGTCCGGGATTGGACGCACCAATTAAGGGTGGCTGGACGTTTCCCGAACTCACCGAACCTGCAAGTATGTTTGGTTTTTATCACATGCCATTTCGGTAAAAAGTACTGAAGAGTTTACGCATTTTAGTATATAATTTCTTGTTTGGATAACGAACATTTAGCCGCCAACATACTACGCAAACAAACAAACATAGGCTTAAATTGAAGCTAAAAAATTCTCTACAATATTCCCTTATTCTTGAAAAGATAAAACGCACACATTCTGCGAAAACATTGCTAAGATTTATATAAATCTGCCCGTGGCCGTGCCGAACAAATTTCGGTGCCCATGTTTCTTCTCTTCCGGCCACTTTCAATACAGAATATTCCATTTTCAATACAGAATATTCCATTTTCATCAAACAAAATAAAAAATAATAATTATAAAACAATTAAAAACAGTTAATTTATTTAAATGTTCGTCTGAAATTTGTTCAAATCGCTTCATGATGGCGGCCGCCGAAACATCGATCTCGAACCCCACTCCTAAACATATACGTCAGCAGGTGGGTTCGAGATTGAACGCACCTCCTCGTAGCCAATAGGAAATCCGCTAATATAGGCCTACGTACGCTAGGTATGAGATAAAATATTTTATTCTCATATACTATGTAATTCCAAAGAAATTCCGTTGTTACTGCTATTTAGGAAATTAATGATTAAATCTTAATAAAAATTGGTATCTGTTAATGCACTCTAGGCTTTCACTTACAGATTGACATCTTTATTTTTAGATCCCAAAAAGAAGAAATTCGTTTACATCAATTATCGGATAGAGCGGAATTCTTTGATGATCCATATAATTGACTACAAGAGCGAGCAGTTAACCGAATGCTTATAACAAATATAATCATCCCAAATGCACAGTAAGTATAATGTATAGCTATATTATGTACATGAAAATGCGAGTCCAATCACCCATGTATATAGTATTCGAAATAATATAATAGCCCATGCAGCATATATACTGTATTGAATTGCATGGTTATTATTCCGAATATAGTCATGCGGACCATTATTGTGCAGTTCGAATAAATATCAGACTGTCACCAAAAAGCGTACAAAGCGTATATAATCAGCTACACAATTTAATTGATATAGGCTACATGCAGTTGATTATGACTACAGATATATAAATCTACAAAATTATACTTTATACATAGTTTTTATAATGGTAACGTTAAACTAAGTCTTCTTTATTCCATTTAAAATCACTTTATTCTTAAAATCTTACTATTGTTGCTGATTCTGATATATGACTTTTGCGACCACCAAGTGATATCATGAAATCTTGTTAATATAATGTACATGCCCCCTTAATTCCCTAGCTCTGTGAGTGTTTTTATATATAGTGCAATGTGTATGTTGTACTGAAAATGGAAACATCGTGGCTATACACATAAAACATATATAGTTGAACAATATCTTCGTGCAGCCTCGATGCACCCATGCATAAATGTCAAAAGATTTACTCATTTTCTTGCTCTTTACATTCTTATATAAAAAGTCTGTACCGTGAAGGTTACATTTCTCACGCCGCAATTCCATGGCTTCCTGTTTTCCTTACTAAAAAAATTGGTTTAATAAAACCAAATGGCAAGAGACGACACCGTTTTTCACTGGTTGCCATTCTTAAAATTAACAAAAAAGGAAAACAGTAAAACTCTACATGCACTTTAATTTTGTTACATTTAACTTCCATTCGACGAAGTAAATATTACCCTAACTTTGCATTGTAGGTCCAATGCTAAGCCACAAAAAACAACCTAAGATACTAATTTGTTCGTTATTATACCAACAATTACATCATCTCTTGCTCGTCCAAATTTCCCTTGCCTCCAGTTGCATGGTAGTATATACCAAATGAGCTTCACGCTTTTACCAGCTTGCTTCACTGGCACTCTGAAATATTGAAAATAATTTAAGAATTAGCCCATTCATCAACTTGTAATGTTATCTTCAGCTGTTTTCCGTGGAATGCATGATATAGCCACTATAGAAAGCCGACAGAAAAATGTTGAAGTTAAGTACTCATTTTGAGAGCTGAGTTACTTGAGTTACTATTATGAGTTACTGACTAGCTTCCAGTGTTATACGTGCATACAATGACGCGAATTTTAGTGATCAAGTCCTCGTGATCCAGCCATGCTAAAGGCTGACAAGTGTTTCCATCGCAGTATATTGATTTGTGGGATCACTTTCTTATAAAGCGGATATACATGTTAAAGGGAAATTTTTTATTTTCTCATTTGAAAGAACGTTTGAAACTATATCTTAACTTCGTTTACCGATTTTTCATATCTTGCTTAGTTCTTGAAATATTTTAACTTGAAGTAATGAGATGTCCGCCATCTTGGATATATCTCATTAACGGTACGTCACAACAGGGGTCACGCAATAGTTTTATCTAGACAACCACTAAATGAGGTTATGCAATAACCAAGGTTAGCAACTTGGGAACCAGGTATTCTGACGTCAGCACGTCACATGACCGGGGGGATGGCGCAATGGGAGTAGGTGACATCTATCATTCCAAGTCTGACGTCCAAACGACGACAACGTGCGCTTTGAATATATATATATTTTTTTTCTTTTGTATGCTTAGTTCAACAATTTATTTCCACCAATTTTTAATTGGTGTGAAGGTGTTAATTCGGTGGGGGGTGGCAGCTCAAGAGCCATTGTCACGGATCTTAATCTGAGTCCAAGTAACAGAGTCCGTCCAGGTCACCCCCCTCGGTCAGCTGAGCTAACACCTAACCAACCAAACGGGTAAGTATGGTGGACAAGGTGTTAATCATTTTGCACTCAAAATTATACTCTGTCTGCCCTTCGAAATATCAAGATCATTTAAAACCGATTTACCAATCAATATTTGGTCAGCAACCAGTGGCGTAACCGGAGGGTGTTTGGATGTTTGGTGGAAGGTGTTTATTACTTATTTTTACTTTTTTTTTATTTGTCATAGTCCGGAAAAAATTTTTAACACCTTATTTTTAAGGAATATAGTTTTTTCTTCCCTCCCCCCGCTCGTCCAACTTTTTTGGGGAAAAGATAGGACCCCATTTAAAAATTTGACGGGGCCTCAGGAGGTTCCGTTACGCCACTGTCAGCAACGAATACTTTTATATGGTTAATCCTTGTTGTTACGTCACCAAAACTGGCGGACATTTCATTTCTTTCGATCAAAATATTTGTAGAAGAAAGCAAGATATAGTCTTAAAAGTTCTTTCAAATGAGAAAATAAAAAATATATTGCCATTTCCGTTTAAGCATATGAATTTCTTAATTGGGGCAGGTGTAATTTTTTTTCTTTCGTAATGATTATATATTACAAGCAACTTCCATTTCCTGTAAAACGTTTAACCAATAACTGACCAGTAATAACCAATAACCATTTATTTATTGTGAACAATTTTGACAATAACAACCCACCCACATTTAGGAAGCTATTCGAAGTCGGGGGTTGTAAAATTATTTAACTTTGTTTATAATTGTTAGACAGCCCGTGAGCTTCATATAGTTATAGACAGTTCATACAAACAAATAAAAATTACTTAATATTTCACGCATATTAGCAGACCTGACCGCTATCAGGGAAGAGCGAAAAAGGACAAAATATTTGGAGACTCGTATAAACTGCAGCAAAATCAACTGAAGAGTTTTAAAGATGTGGATTAAGTTTAATATAAACAAGTAACTATTTAATTTAGAGAATGTTTGCATAATTTGGTCGAAATCAACATAGTCATCAGTGACTCATCACCAGATAACATAACATCGAGAAGCATACTTTCACATTTTTTTGTGAAAGCCACTTTACTTAGAGCACGAATTGCAAGTGGTAGAGCATTCCATACGGCTTTTGTAATCTGGATCGAGGTTGTTAGAGATTACCGCGCGCTGCAGAGCTAGTGTTATAATTATGAGCATCACTAACTAGTAAATAATGTATAGATATGTTAAACGGAGTTAATAAAAAATGGATATAGCATGGTCTCGGAAATTTGCAAAATTCATCAAACGAACAGTTCGTTTCTGAAGCAGCACAAGGAGACGATTGAGAAGAGTTTTGCAAGTTTGACCCCACATCGATATACCATAATTCAGATAGGGGTGCACTAAGGCATAGTAAATCCTTGGTAAAGTGTGCTTAGGAACAAAGTATCTAAATCTAGCAACGATTCCAACAATTCTGCTTAGTTTTAAGGGAAACATAATCAATATGAGATTTCCATGTTAAGTTAGCATCAATTAGTAGACCCAGAGGCCAGATACTTCACTTCAGTATCTTGACAAATTTTCATGAAAGAAATGCCTTCGAGAATGATCATGAACTTATAGTTAAAATAGATATAATACAATTAACTTACAAACTCCGAATTGGTTCCTGGAATGTTCTTATATATTCTCTCAACGTAAGGCATTTCCACCATCACGCCGTCTGAATGTGTAGATCTTGAGCCGATGTTTTCATTTTTGGTTTGTTGTACGGTACCGGTTCTGCACCGACCACTTAGTCTGGTACGCGAAAATGACGTTGGTTGAACAGAATGCGAACAACATCCTGAATCATCGTTGAAATGCAAGTAAGTGCTGCTGAAAGATTGCTGTTCGTTGTCAATCGGATCTTCAGAACGTAAGTTCTTCCACAGGGATCCTTCGTAATTTGTAGAGATGTTTTCATCTTGAACATCCTGATGACGTGTTGTTGGAATTTGCAATCCCCCTTCGAAACGACAATTACAAGATTCACGTGAGTTGTTTTTCTGAAATTTTTTGGTCACTTTAAAGTCACTGAAAGAAACCATCTTGTTTCTTTTCGGTGAGGAATAACTTGGCTCGCTTGAAAACTGGGTGCTTTTTTGTGTCTGGACGTGTGATATTGGCATTTTTGAGTAATTTTGACCAGAGCGCTCTGCATTTGCGTGTGGTAATTGACCAAAACAAATTTCTGTGGGGTGTTCTGCGTGAAGTTGTAAGCATTTCGTGTTAGTGCAGAAAACCGGATGGTGTTCCTCGACATTAAGTGTGACTGGAAATCCCTGGTTGTTGACGCATTGGACTAACTACAAAAATAGAAGGTTAAATTCAGTATACAACAGGCATATCCCACATTTCAAATTTGAATTAGGTGAAATTATATTTGGATTTCCGGTAACAAAAACGTATAAAATTGAAGATTGGTTTATTACTGATGATGACATGAATTGAAAGCTTTATCACATAATATTTGGTATTTTCCAAGAAAAAATTAGAACAGAAAGTTTGGGATTGTTTCTGAATTGAAAATGGAAGCAAAAGAGAACATAAACGTTTTCACGTTGTTGGAAGAGGTTGCATGGATGTACATAACTATAGGTTTTTCAGCACACCAGTATTAGGAATTTTTATATAGTGTACCTGCATTCGAAATTTTCTTTTTATTAATAAACATGATAAGAAGTTACAACCAATTTATATGATCAAAGTTAACAAATTATTTTATTACCTGCATTTCATTCTTTTGTTCGACACGTTTATCAGCTCTATCATATTGACTTTTTTTGTTGGTATCAGATTCAGTGTTCTCTTCAAACTTCTTCCGAAGTTCTCCTATATGTACATTCTTTGGACCTTTTGGTTCTAATGGAGCTTTCCTTGCCCTTGATGACTTTGGTGGTACATCAGGTTTTTTTAGGATTTGTGGCTTTATTTCAGTTTTATTTGGACCTTTAGTTTCAAAATTTGTTTTGTCCATAACTGTTTCTACTCTTTTAGGGGAAGTAGTCATTGAACTTTCTCCTTGGCTTAGTATTTCCTTTTCTTTGATAGTAACTTCTTTGTTGCTGCCTATTTTCTGGTATTTTTGGTTGTTGGGATTGTTTTCATTGATAGTTTCATTTTCGTTAGTTTTACTGTTTTTATTTACGTTGCCATCATCATCATTGGAGCAGCTACTGTCGTCGTGCTTGCTTTCATCATTTGAAGTGGTGCTGTCGTCGTCGTCATCCTGGTTACCGGTTTGTTTGTTTTTGTTAATGTTGATTATTATTTCTCGAAGCGTTTCTTTCATTTCATCTAACGATATCTTCATATTTCTCACATCATTAACAATTTCTTCTTGTAATCTTCGCACTTTACTGACATCCATTCTTACAAAGTCCATGTCTGGTTCCTTGCCCTTTCGAAATTGCTTGCCAAACTTTTCAGCTAGGGCACTTGCTATCCCTTTCACATCGTCATGAACTCGTTCAATTGTTGCTTCCTCTCTGTCCAATGACATTAACCGACCAATATTTTTGGAAATGATTTCTGGACTTGCGTTTTTCTTGATAAAGTCGTAGTATTTCGCTTCTTGTTTACGCCATAAAGACTTCTCGAGTAGAAGAATGGTCCTTGCTCTTTGCATAACAGCGTTGGCAATAGCGTTCTCGTAAAGTCTTTCAAACGTGTTCGTAAGAAGAGCAATAAGCAAGTTAAGGGTGACGATTGCTGCCACACCTATAAAACTTCCGCATAGCAACCTAGCCATGAAGGGTTTGGTTCTCTGCAATCTGTCAAAGCGATGCTCACCACCAACCATCATGGAGAAGATGTTGTACAACAGCGGACCAACTTTGTCGTAGCCCGTGACAGGAGTGGACGAAATAGAACCAAACGTTAACCAAAAGGCACAGGCGAACGGTATAAAAATGATGATGTTGAAAAATCCCCACTTTATAATGTCACCTATTACACTGCCAAATATGACAACAAAAGGACCAGCACCTTCAAAGGGTCTTGCATATTTGAACATTCTGTACCAGAGTATCAGAAGTAACGGCATTGTGATGTAATGGTGGACTTCTTTGGATAAATCGGTACTGTAGTGGAAGAAAACCACGTGAGATACGATTGTTGCCAGGATAAGCACGAGTGCGATCCAATCAAAATATATCCAGTAATCAGAACCTGACATAAGAGAGAGATTTCTAACAGCTTTTATCTCTGCGTTGACATACTGGGTTTCTTGTGGCCACCTGGGATGACAGTACTCAATATCACGTTCAAGTTCTGAAGCTCGCCATTCTTTCCACGCTTTATGTTCTTGGCGAGTTTTCAATGTGTCTAAAAAGAAAAGTTTATTGGTTTCGCTGTTCTGCAGAATCAGTTTAGTAGCATGACAAAATTACTGGATGCTGATTGGTTGATAGGAGTACACTAGTACAATTATTTCATTAATTGTACTGCAGTACAATTAATGATTTTCCCAAAACAAACAAAATGGCGGAAAGGTATTTTGAACACAAATGTGAAAGGAAATCGCCCTTGAGCCTTGAGGAACTACATGAAAATACGAACAAAAGCACCAAATTTTGCTTTAACAAAAGAACTAAATGAAAATACGAACAAAAGCACCAAATTTTGGTTGAAAGTCTGGCAGGACTGGGCTTTGGCGAGAGAATATGATGTTGACATTGAGAAGTATACAATTTTGTCATATGCTAATAATAATCAAGTACGGCGGCTCGTCCAATTTTGGCAAAATTTCCAAACATCACTCGTACTATTAATCCCTGATTGTACTCGCCATCGCATGATTACCTATACTAATCGCACACTGCAACGATGATCTAAGTTACGAATAATTAAGATTAATGATGAAATGTCGAAAGTGAAAGAGAGCATATGGTGGTAATTAAATACGTGCATGAGCTGACAAAGCCTAAACCATTTCGAAAGCGTTTGAAAGATATATCAAGAGAGGGTTGATATGGCCACAGAGTAGGATATGGTCGTTAGATAGGAGGGTTGATATGGCCACAGAGTAGGATATGGTCGTGAACCTACGGTTCAATTCCTACCAGAGGACCTTGTGCTGCATTTTTCGCAGTCGTTCCTGGTTAGGTCTTAAAATGTATATATTCTCACTTGGATTACAAACCCTAACATTCTAATATTAATTCCACCAAGTGCAAGAATCCAAATCATTGAAGTCTTTTAATTAAGGCGATGTTACACGGGATAACTTTTAAGCTGTGAATCCCTGGGAACGACCCTGATGCGAATGAGGTAACACGTAATTTGATTTGTTCTGTATCGAATTTAAATTGCGAGTTGACGTTAAAGGTTGTCCGGTGTAACATCGTGGCATCGCCTTAATAAGATCTTTTAAGATTTAAAAAAGCCGTAAACTAATGTAATAGAAATGAATAGAAAACTGGTTTTGGTCCGTGAAGCTTGTAATAATTGAACTTGTTATACAGACCTTAGTCACCTTACACGTGTGCATGTGTAATGAATTATTACATGATTAATTTAGAAACTTACTTAGGATCTGTTTTCTTATTTCCACTATCGTGAGCAAGATAAGGAAAATACCAATAATAAGTCTCCAGGAATTGGGACCGATGGGGATATACAAATCTCTTCCGTATTTTGGAAGAGTCACTGCAAGCAGTGTCCACAATATTGTGTATATGAGATTCAGCGCAAGATCTTGAACAGCACCCCATTTGCCATAGCATTGCCATTTTGCACCAATCAGGCGTTGCATGACGGGATGCATGATGATGTCATATCTCTCATTCTGGACAGCTATCTCAAGGGGAGTTCGAGCAGGCGTTTTCTGTTCTTTTAATTTCGTGCCTTCCAGATAGTTGAGAAAATAAAATTCTTTACGATTGATTGTGTCTACTGAGTGAAACTGATTCATTGCATCCAAAGCCACTTCAGGAATCTTTTCAATGAGAAGGGACAAGGCCGAGTTTCCCAAGTTGTCATACACACCAGCTGGAGCGCCTTCCGTAATCAGGAGTTTGGCAGCTTTAGAACGATTCATTTCTGCAGCTACCTATAATGTAGAAAATATCAATATTAGTAAATATTCAATTTCAAAGTTCGGATTAAAGCATAATCTGTCAAGATATGATGGTCTGGAAGCCCGGCAAACTTGAAAGCTGCAAAATAGAAGACCTTTTTTTGATGTTGAAATGTACGTCACCGTACACAAATCCTTGAATCCTCATCGTGGTTACACGTTTCATCTCAGCTATCCCTATTGGACGGTTACTTAATTAAACGAAAATAGAATGAGCTCAATCACCGTGACCGTGCATAAATTAACATAAACTCAGACAAAAACATAATACAATGACTTCTGTTTAGTTTCCAGACCATGGCTGGACATTTGAGAAAGTTGCTAACCCACAAGAAAGGACTCAGTAACAAGGACGCTTGTAACAGCTTGTTTTCCAGGGGACCTATAGACCTTATTCATAAATCGTGACGAGGCCTCGTATCCTAGGATACGGGGAAAAACGCGGGAAAACAAGCGAAAACTGCTTGACAAGCCAAATTCAGATGCTATATATCGTGACTTCAACGGCTTGTTTCTTGTTGTTTTTTTGCGATTTATAACGATTTTTGTGTGTATTTTAAGACTTTGTTCCCACAACGAAAGCGGTAAACGAGTATATTATAAAAGCGACCGGTTTTTCTCCCGTTTTTGTGTGGAAAAAATGACAACGTAGCGACAGTGTTTATCCAGAAGCGAAAAACAGCATTTTACTGAGATTTTAACGTCAATATAAAGGTTATTCCGTGAAAAATCATGACAACTATGGAATGAAAGTATAATTTTTCGAATTTGACATTAATATGAAAGAAAACAACAGGTCAAAAATCACAAGAGAACGTCAAATGTCATTGATTCGTACGGGGAAATATGAACTATGGCTGTGGCTCGATAACATTCTGCAAGCAGCTTACAAGTTTAAAAAATGAAGGCTACATTACCTGAGTGAGTTGTAATCTTATTTCTTCAACAATAGTTTCATATTTCTTACGATTTTGGTATTGTATAGACGTTTTGTAGCCTTGTTGGTTGTTTGTTTTGGCCATACAAACTACGACAATGATACAAACTAGTGAAAGTCAAAGGTTTCCTTTTTCGATTGACTCCAGCATCTTTTGCTTTAAATATCATGTTATATTTTCTCAGAAGTATTTTTTTCAACTTTCAAACTCAGTTTTATAGATATTATTTTAGAAAAAAGCCGTAATATTGACGATAAAAAGCTGCCATAGCCGACAGCAAAAAAAACATTTTGTCAATTTTCCCGCGTTTTCCCCGTTTCCTAGGATACGAGGCCTCGATCACGATTTATGAATAAGGTCTATAGTGTCGTAACGTTCCTAGCTGGTTAGGTATAAAATGTGTATATGTAGCCTACTATATAAACACGAGCAGGAGTGCTTTATCAGATATATCTGATAAAGCACAGACTGCGAGTGTTTTAAATGGCTTAAAAAAAAATATATATATATATATATATATATATATATATATATATATATATATATATATATATATATATATATATATATATATATATATATATATATAGATATCGTCAGTTGGATTATCCATCAGCAGCACTATTTATTGTTATATACACAACTGAACCAGTTTGTTGTATGCATTTTACATGCAACCAGTCAAAATCAACCCTGTAGTCAATCCTGACAGTCAAAATTTTATCCTGATTTATCAATCCTGTAGTAATCCTATACCTGTAGTGGTGTTCTGTTTTTGCTGTCACGTGCGTCAATATCTGCTCCATATCCTAGCAACATATGAATAGAGTTGATAGCGTCATTTTTAGCAGCAAAATGCATTACAGTTTGTCCTTCACCAGTCGTTTTAATATCAATATCAGCTCCATTTTGCTGAAGAAATTCTACCATTTCAGCGTAGTCTACTGCCGCAGCAACGTGAAGTGGTGATCGACCATACTGATCTTGTTGGTTCACATTTCCACCTTGAAAATCAAAATACGTTTATTTAATATCCATACCTTTTTAATAACCTTAAATTAGCATTCTTTATATTTTATTGCTTATATTGAACGAAAGTATCGGAATCTTTCAGCACTTCCTATGTACAATTGAAACCTACATTTGACGCACATTATTACCATAGTAGACTATACTGTTCGTACCATTGTTAATGAGGAATTTTGCGACATCAATGTTCCAAGATCTCGCTACTTCATGAAACACAGTCTGACCTGTCTTGTCTGTGCTGTTCACATCTGCACCATTTTTCAGTAAAGATTCAACGAAATCAAAATCAAATGTATCTTTTGTACTGTTGGAGTTCGCCAATGATGCAAGGTAATGGAGTAGAGCGCGGTTTCTGACATTCTGAGCTTCTCTTCCTTCAGCCATCTCACTTTCACCAAGTTCACCCTCAAGTACCGCGTGCATTGGTTCATTTGCTCGACTAGTACCTGGAAAATAATAGTGCACTTACATGGTACATTATTATCTGAATGGCCAGAATCACTTTGAGATGTAGCATGATCAAACTCTGTACCTTCATTTTCTGTTCATATTTATACTTATCTGGTCTCGATTGATAACCAGGGCCGTAGCAACCGGGGGGGGGGGGCTGGGGGGGCTGCAATAATTTGCTGCCCCAATAATTTGCTAATAATCATTCTTTTTTCAAAATCATGCAAACTTTATCATTTAATCTGTGACAAACTGCAAAAAATGAAGATATTACTCATACTCCAGATCGTTCCTCGCGTAGAAATTTTAGCTGAATTTCTGTCGCGCATTTTCAAGAAAATCCCACAAAATCTGCACATTTTTGATGAACTAATGATTTATTTTGTCTTTTGCGTGTTGGGTCTTGCGAAAGAAAACTCTGAAAATGCCATTTCAGACCATCTAGAGACTCCAGATTTTCGAAATTTTCTCAAATGTTCTGCCTTCATTTCCGCCGAAAATTCCCGCCGCGCATTTATTATTCTACAGTCTGGCCCATACTTTCCTGTAAATTTCGACATACTAAAACGCTGTTTTCTGACCATCAGAATTCTGTTAAATCTTCCCCCAAAGTCCAGGAAATGGCATTTTAGAGACTCTAAATTTAAAAATTTCCTCGGGCCTTCGGCCCTCGCTTTCAGCCCCCCCAATCGAAAAGAGCTTCCTACGGCCCTGATAACTAAAGTTAAAACAACGATTAAACAATTTCCAGAATATCTACAGCTCAACTTCTATCACTACGTATATATACGATGACTTTTTAAGAAACCAAGAGATGAAGGAAAAAAGCGATTGGAAATTATATTTTGGAAATAATATCTTAAGGGAAATGGGAAGGATGCACGTGCGCGGCCGTGACATATGCAAACCTAATCATGATGATTATTAGTATTTCTTAGCCAGCGAAGCTTTGGCCGTGTTTGGGGGGAGAGCTTGCAAGGTGAAGCTAGGAATACGGCCAGCCAACACACTATACTATTTTGTAATGGTAATACGCCCACAAAGTTGTTTATTTGAGCGAACCAATCACAGTGCGAGTAATTAAATTAAGAACTGGCGTTTTATAGGCGTTGCCAATATTAATATTGCACTACCTGTGGAAATTTGCATTACTCAGACAACTCAAAAATACAAAATAGTATAGTGTGTTGGCTGGCCGTATTTCTAGCTTCACGATACCCCGTAAGTCTGGCTCCCAAATACGGCCAAAGCTCCGCTGGCTATAAGTGTTTCTATGAGCAATGATCATGCAGAGCAAATTGCGCATCCCCTGGCACACCAAGATGGCGGACGCCTGCACATTTTAAGATCCTCTATATTTTAAAGATATTATTTTATCAACAGTCCTGATTCCTCCAAATTTAGTATCTTTGACGATTGAAAAGATTTTGTTCGAGTTCCTGTCGAGGAGTAATCTCAATATCTAAGATAATTGGTGTGATTTCGTGTCTAGAGTAAGTAGAGTTCAGGGCCGTCGCGAGCGGGGGTGTGTGTGGGGGGGGTGCTTCACCCCCCCAATAATTTTCGCAAGTCGGCCCCAGTCGGCAAATTGCTTCGTTACTGTTCGGCAAATTGCGAAATCGGCATTCAGCAAATTGTAAAATTTAAGAGCGAAGGCGATAAATAAAGCGATAAATTTTGGATTTAAAATAATGGTTTGTGTGGCCTTATACCATTTAAATGTATTTCTATTTTCTAGTAATACTATTGGTCTTTTATTTGTCGAAAATCGACGGGAGGCTGAAATGTGAAACCCACGTTTCCGGGCATGTTCTTCGCTCGACTGCTCTTATAGCGAAGGCTCTTTATCAATTATGCGCGGTTCAAAACCCAAAAGAAAAAGAATAAAACTTTAGTGTCTTGAATGTAATTCGATTTTTGACGACTATAGAAACTTTATTATTTATTTCACGAGGGAAAACGTATTAACTATAAAAGTTATCTAACATACGGCCCGACGATTACCGTATTAAGAGGCACGATCAAACTTGCCATATTAAAAGGGAAACCGAGTGCGAGTAGCACATAAAGACGTACCAGCTAATCCGTTTGAGACTGCAAAGTGCAGTCAAAGATAAAGCCAAAGAGAATATTTTGAGTCGTCAGAGGCGCAAGATCCTCAAGAAGACTCCACAGGCACATGGGAAGAAGACCAAGAGAAAGACGAACCAAGCCAAGACAAGACGGACTTGTCTTCTTTAGTTCTTTAGCGAAATTACTGTTAACTCTGATCAGCCTACAGTTTTGAAAGGTTGATCACATGGTTCCAGAGGTTTATTCTTATTATTTTCATTGCGAAGGGGAGAGGAAAAATAAACCTCTGATTGAAAGCGGCAATTGATTCATTGAGCTGCGCCAATCAGTTTGAATTAGGATCAGATCCTGACTCTGTCTCCTGATTGGATGATTGTATTAAAGTTCTCTGATTAGTTCAAATAGAACATCTATAACCAATCAGAGAGCTTTAATACGATCATCCAGTCAGGAGACAGAGTCAGGATCTGACCCTAATTCAAACTGATTGGCGCGGCTCAATGAATCAATTGCCGTTTTCAACCAGACGTTTATTTTTCCTCTCCCCTTCGCAATGAAAATAATAAAAATAAACCTCTGGAACCAGGGTAATACTTGGATAACTTTTCTGACTTTGCGGAGATGCGCGTCTGCACCACAGTCTAAGACACTCGTTACTCAGACTATATGCACACGGTACCGTTTCCGAGCGTTTTTCGGTTTTTGGTTGTAATTAATGCGTTAATTTCTGAAACTGAAAGTACCATTTTCACGTACGTTCTGTTCACACGAAAACGTATGAAAACGACGTCAGGAAGCAAAAACGTTTCAAATAGTGAAAGCAATGCCAAAGATTCGTTCTCTATGTCTGAAACGTTTGGTCGTTTTGGCACTTTGTTATTGTGTAAACAGAAAAGTAGAAGGCGAAAATGAAATTCCGTGTTTGAATAGTTGGAAACGAAGACTATAAAAAACTACAGCTTTGGCAGAAAATGTTGCGAGAAAAACGATCAATGTGAACAAGGCGCCTAAACGCTAAATTTGAAAACGGCACTGCAAAAACGCTAAAAAACGTGACCCGTGTGCACATAGTTTCAGTCTCGATTTAGGACTTATGAAAACACAGTATAAATTATGTTAAGTTTAAATTTTTTTCAGCTTTATATGTTTAATATAATTAAGCAACAACTCATCCATTTCAAAACAAGAGCCATATTGGTGTCCCTCAGTTACTAGCACACCAATATGATTCTCATTACCTATATCTAACCTTTACAAACTTTTGAAAAACTCGGCAAATTCAACTAGTGTCACTCGGCAATTTGACCTTCGACACCCCCAATCCATATCCCTTAACGGCCCTGCTTATGGAGGCACTGGGATTATAGCTTCCAGAAGGTTGCGCATTCCACTGGTAGCAAGTGCGCCACTCGCTGTGTGGGAATGCTGGTTAAAATGCGCCATTTCAACCGGCTTTGCGCAAGGTATACCACCAAAGCTTTACAGAATTGAAGGTTGTTGTATTAAACTGTCGCTGCGAGGTTCTATGTAGGTATAATTTGAATGCTATATTCCCGCGCGCGCTATTTTAAACTTTTCCCGGTCGGGTAACTGATCCCCTGTAGGCTGTGTAATAAAACCTCGATCTGACGGTGTAAACATAAGCCGTTTACGATTATAGAAGAACTATGGATGGAATCAATTTGCGAATTATTCAATTATATGTTAACAAGCCTAATTTTTACTTTGCTCGTTGCTTTTTGGACGAAGGCGGATTTGATTTGTGCGTGGGTGACCTCCCTAGTGTAGAGAAGAAATCTGATACTACGAAAGATTCCTACTGTGAACAATAGTTCGAAGTCCAATTCCCGTTGCTTTTACAATAAACGTCTGGCCTTTATAGCTGTCACAGTCACAGTTCGATACTTGCTAGCTGTAATTTCGATATGACTGGACCAGTATGTTTTGTTGTTGCAAAATATCGTAGAGGAAAACAAGCTCCTTAGAGAACAAAATAATAGCCAATACAAGTACAGGGAGTGAGAATGCGCTGAAGAATTTCAACGAGAAGATGGATATCATTACTCGATCTTATTCTGAGAGACGAGTCAGACACTCAGACAAACGGGAAAAATATACAGAGAGTGCCCAAGGGCAAGGCTTGCAATGTAAGTACATGTGAAACGTTTATTTATACAGTGTATATTTCCGTTTACAATTGTCAGACAATGCATCATTGCTCCGTACAGTATATGGATATAAAAAAAACTTTGTCCATTTGACCGTTATAAAAATACAGTTTATTTGAAATATTGGCTCCAAATTTGAAATCATTTTCAAAATCAATGACATATACATATATCACTGTATAGTCCAGTCAGTCCAGTATTTTTTAGCTAAATACAGCACAATGGATTCACCGAATTAGTCTTTAAATTATATTATATTATATGCAACTGATTATTACTTGCTTCTTAAAATTGCCAGTATTAATTTCATACATTCGAGTGCCTCAATACGGTAATGCCTTCGTAGCCTGTTCATGCATATATAGAAGCCAGACTGTCCTGCAGACAGTACGAGATGCGGGATGAATTTCTCTTGTGTTTATATGAGAAAAATTCATCCCGCTTGCCGGGACAATTTTGTTATTCTGTTTGATATATTTTATTGTTTTGACAGTAAGTTAAAAATAGCTTGCGGCGGTATATTTGAACTTTCATCCTGGAAAACGGCCTATAGCTCGCTCGTGAGTGTTTATATGCAGAAATTTCCATCCCAGTAAGCGAGATCTCGCCTCTTTCGAGCAAGATCTCGGCAATCTGGCAGCCCGCTTGTCTATATAAATGCGCAGCAATTTTTACTATAAAAATAACTACACAGTGTGAGCGAGATCTTGCTTACCGGCCTATCTTGCTTAGCCTTAGGCCTAAAACGTGCGGATTTTGTATTGTAACTATGACAAGATAGATAGATCATAAGCAGTATAATGTACAACTATAGCAGCGTACTAGGATTATTTGCCAAATCAAAAGC